TTGTGATCATCAACATGCTATCATCCTGGTTAAACATCAACTCTACATTTAATACTGAGATCATTCAGTGAATCCAAAGAGTTCTTAGAACTTAGAGAGTAAAGTTAGTCCATCTGATGAACTGGGCTGGTGGCTTCCAGAGTTTACTGAACTTTTTAAATCATGAACTTTTTTCTTAATTATTTTGTTTCAGTGGTAAAGCTGGTTATGTTGTTCAGACTCAAGTCACTGATTTCATCAATTTCATGAATTTGCCAACAGTGAGATTTGTTAGTAGAAATCATGATAACAACCTCAATAACCTAAAGTCCTTTGTGAACGGTAGAAAAGCTCAGTTTCACTGTAAAATAGAGACGCACTGATTCACATTGTTCACTGTTGATCTGATTCTAATACTAATCATTTGGATATCTGCAGATTCCAATAGTTTTCTAATACCAGAGGAGCTCTGTTTGCTTTAATGTAATCATTAATAATGATTCTTTTAGGAGGCTCTCACAAACTCCTCTCTAGAAGCAAGTAAATGGATAAAAATATACATGTTTTTTTACCCAACAGGCAATGTGAGATTAGTATCAGGTCAAAAAAGGAAGTCAGAAAACTGAACAAATTCCATCTTAAAATGTATATGCTCATGTAGGCTTTTAAATTGATGGTAGTTTTTAAACAAAGACAACTTGAATTTATTATAGAATAAACTGAATAGAGCCAATATGGCTCACGACGATTATTTTTTAACCAATAACTTCGTTTTTTTCTTTTTTTCCAACATCAGGAACGATACCAATGATCTCTGCTCTAAAAGATCACCTGGAGCACATGAACCTGCAGGACTTCACCCTGTCACAGATCATCACGCAGCAGAAAGGTCAGAACAGACCCAGTGGATCAGTGTTGAACCTCTCAGGGAAACACTCCCCAACCATAACCCCCCCTCTACTGTGCTGTCTGTCCTCAGAGCTACTCATACCAGACAAAGCCAACGTCTTCTACGCCATGTCCACAACAGCTAACTTTGACTTCGTCCTGCGCAATCACAGCAAACGGCAGAAGAAACCTCTGAGACCGACCGCCAGTCTGGGTCGGTTCACGAAGTGAGAGGAGCTGAGCTGATTGGACGTTCCTGGAAGACATGAATATGCATCCTGCTCTATGGTTTCTGCCAAAGCAGGATGGAGTTTAGAGACTGTGGGAAAAAAAGCACTTTATTGATGGAGCCTAAAACTCCATCATCAAATCACTTCCTGTTGGATCAACAGCTGAAGGGTGTGGGCTTGGCTCATGTAGAGATCTGCTGTGATTAACTCTGATTTAATATTCTCATGAAGCCGTTTGGGAACACCCTGTCTTCCTGCAGCATGTGCTGATTTCTTTACACACAAACATAAAGAAATATGCATTTCTAAACCCAGCTGGGCGCAGATGATCGGCTGAATGTCATTTAAAGGGATCAGGCCTTAAAATGCCTTTTGTTGATCGGCGTCGCTGGGGTGGAGCCAAGGGAAATGGTGAGTGAGGGATGCTGTCCCAGGGACGCTCTTCCTGGTAGCTGCTGAGATGGAGCGGCTGGCAGCTCCGACTGGAAGGATGGCATTCCTGCGCCTGGCTCGTGACGGCAGCGGCAATCGATACGCTAGAACTGCACTACTATGTGTCAAAAGACAAAAAGGATTATCTGGTTGTTTTTTTTTATGTTAGTTTGTCTTTAGATTTTTATGATTTAATGTTTCTTTTTTTTAATAACATTTTGTATTTATTTTGTCCTCACTGTAATTCACTTTAACAGCACCTTTGTTTGATGGACACACCTCTATGACTCACTTAACTTATCTCTGAAATGGAGGAAAAATGCTTGTTTAAAAAAAAAAAATCATGACGCACAGTTTAAAATGTTCCCGTTAATGCTCTTATTGTTATTTTAGAAAATATTCTGATGAATGTTTTCTGTTTTTAATCTGTCCTAAATAAAATTGACCCATAGAACCTGAATTTAATGATATTAAAACCTCTGTAATATTGATGTAATCTTTCTAAAGTTTCTCCACATAAGATGTGAATTCTCTGAATTAGAGAGGATCAGCAAAGACCAGGTGGATCCTGTAAACACACAGGGTTAAATCACCAGTTTCTTTTCTTTGAAAGTCTGGACGTCAACATGTTTCCCCCCAGAGGGAAAAATCAGTCTGTTATGGGAAGAGAATGAGGAGCTTTTCTCTGATATCTTCTTCCCACAGAAGCTGTTTCTGGAAAACGTTCTTCTCTGCTGACATGTTTCAACACATGACACCTGAAACCACCTGCTTTTTATTATTTTTTTCTCTCCCTGTAAAACTGGTTTTCTTATCAGACTTTCATGACAGAAGAAGTTTCAGAATTAAAACATCAAAGAAAGAAATGAACAGTTTTTAATCAAGAATTTGATTTGCATTACCGGGATGTATTAAAAAAAACCCTTATAATAAAATAATAATTTTCCAACCTGGCTTGCCTATTTTGGTATTTAAAATATTTTTTAGCACTTTGAAAAGTTTTTAAAATGATATCTTAATATGAGAAATACTACCTAACAGTTTAAAATAAGGCATATGCATTGATTATATCCAAGTTAATTTTCTACTTGAAATAAATGTAAACATTCATGTTAGGTCGGAAGAAATGAATCTGATTAATCAATTATAGAAATAAGTGTCAACTAATTTAGTAATCGATTATTGAAAAAATAATCAACAGATTATATAATAATCTCTTGATAATAAAATAATCATTAGTTGCAGCCCATATTTATTGACTTTGTTCAATTATTTAGAAGGATATTAAAACTTTTCACAACTTATTTTATATGGAGGTCCAACTCTGCCATATGTAAAAATAAATAAATGCTTGATAGATACATAAGCATACAATCAATTACCCACAAAAATACAATAAAAATAAATATAGGTAGAAATTAAATTATACAGTGAGATAAATGTATGAATCTCTTTTAATTAGGTTCTTAATTTATTCGCCTTTGTAATAATTACCTTATTGTCCGTTATACTCTTAGTAATTACAATATTGTATGTATTTGTGGGCATGATATAATTTTTTTTTTCTTCTGTTTTATTCTTCCTTTGTATTTTTTTTACCATATATATTTCTTCAATGCTATTTCTGCTTCATTATGCAAATGAGGGGGGGCTGTGACATTAAATAAATAAGGTAATTGTTACAAAGGCAAATACATAAAGAAGCTAATTAAAAGAGATATATACATTTATGCTTCACTGTATATTTCATTTCTTCCTACATTTATTTGTTTATTGTATTTTTGGGGTCAATTAATTGTATGCTTAGTTATTTACTGAGAATGTATTTATTTATTATATTTTTTTTAATATGGCAGAGTTGGTCCTCCATAATTCTGGCCTTAATTCTGTTAAAAAAGAAAACAGGTGAAATAAGTAAGCTTAACCTGCTTGTTTTTTTGTTTTGTTTTTTTTCCAACTTAAAGTTCAATCTGAAAAACTCACACAGAGAGAAAAGATAATTAGAAGAATTTATTGATAAGAAAGTATAGTCTTTGGCGCTCAGACCTCGGCAGGAACATTCATGCTGAATTATGCTTTAACATGCATGAGTAGATGAATGTGAATAGGGATGTTCCCCCCGGGCCTGAAACTGGTGGTGGTTTAATCCGAGCTGGTTGA